TCGGCGCTTACATAAGGCGTGAGGGGCGTGCGGGGCAGGGACTGCGGGCGGGTCGCGATGGGTATTCCCTGGGTCTTGCTGGAATAGGTCCGCCCGACCCGCTAGCTGCATCCCTCCTCCCCCATCTCCGTGCCCTGCGATATAAGAAGACGGCGATAACGGGGCCCGGGACCCCATCTTCAGCCACCCACTCCCTTGGGTAATCCCCGAGACCCTGCTGGGCACCTCTCGAAAGAGACCTGCAGGACCTGCATTGGCGACACAACTGCTGAGATAAAGACTCATCTAGAAGGGAGAGGGAGTCCCGGCCTCAGTGGGGATTGGGATTAACATCATCCTCGTTCATTACACAAACATCGTTTATAGATCACTGCGGGGGGTGAAAAAAGGCCGTAACTATTATACCTACACCTTGGTCCTTTGAGAATGTAATAAGTACTTGTTATTCCCAAACTCTGCTAACTGCCACTCAATCCTAAGCAGTATTTTTTTAAAACCGTTTATTCCAGTTTCCCACGTTTTTGTCAATGTGAAGGGCATGTTACTACACACACACAAAAAGTACATAAGAAGTTGAGACTATGTAAAATATTTCAATACCCATTACAAAAGTAAAGGCAAATAGTAAAAAGAAGTTGCTATTTTGGCAATTGGCACCAAAAAGAAATATTTTTGTCTTCCTACTAATTAAACTGGGATGATAGAGATTTAATGCAATTAAAATAATTGAAATACTAAGTGAAACTATTATGTATATGAAGTAAATTGTAACCATCCATTTTTTAAAACATGGATTCTGAGAATATACTGAGCTTATATTTTCCCCCACATTCATTATATATCCAGTATCCATGGTTCTCAAAATTATTAAAATTTATCAAAACATAAGATCGAGAGCCTAGGGACTACCTAACCAGTACTAACCCTAATGTTGTAAATTGGCATATTTTTGTTTTGTTGTGACAGACTGTAAAGATCACAAGGAGAATCTCAAGCAAAAACATTTATTATTGAACAGTATTTTGGTAATTAATCTTATAAACCAAAATAATACAAGTAATGAAAATAGTGACTTGTATGTTTGTGTGTGTACATGTACATAAATTTATTTATGTTAAAGTCAGATACTTAATGTTTTATGAGGGAAAGTTAAAAAATATAAAATAGATCACAAAGTAAAATAGTACTTAAAACACCATATTTAATATCAAGCCATATTCAACTCTTTATTCTAAATGTTACATTCAAAGAAGGTTATTTAAAAATTAAAAATAACCATTCCACTACTAAATATTTAATTCTTTAGATATGAATCTCTGAATTAATTAAATTAAACTTACATATATTTTTCTTATATAAATTTACCATATTTAGCAAACAACCAGAGAACTGAAGAGTGATATAACAATGGATTAAAGTAATATTTTAAAATTAGAAGAAAATCTTGTGCATAATATGGGGAAATCTCAAGAGAAGTTAATGTTTACAAAAATAAAAAAATATCAAAACAAAAAGAACATAGAAAAATCAAACAAACCAATAATGATTAAAATAGTTCCTAAAGAACAATTACTATTTGATAGAAACAGATTTATAACTAAAGTCTAAAAATTCCAAGGAACAGATACTTGTGGTGTATCAGGGTATAACAAAGACCATGCTATAACCTCTTACAGATCACAAAAAGGACAAGTTACTGAATTTATTATGGTTAGTATAATCTCAAATAATCATTTATAATAATGAAAAAGAAAACTAAGAATCAATGTCTTCTGATGATGGATTTGAAAATCTTAATTGGATTCCTAATAGATACATTCAACTATACAAAGGTGAATGGAAGACATATAGGTTACTAAACCTGTCTGTGCCTCAATTTCTTCATTTGCAATTTGGGGTTTATAATAGTAAATACCTCATAGGATCGTTGTGGGGATTAAATGAGTACTCCTTAGAACAACTCAAGTGTACACCCTATATTGGTGATACAGGCATACAGTTTAGAAATGGAACTCTGATATACCTCATCAAGAAAAAATAACATCCAATGGTATATCCAGGTCAGTTATAAATGACTAGAGGCCCGGTGCACGAAATTTTGTGCACTGGGAAGGATCCCTCAGTCTGGCCTGAGCCTCTCACAGTCCAGGAGCCCTCAGGGGATGTACACCTGCCTTGAAGGTGGGAGAGGGTCCTGCCACCACCACAGCACTCTCCAGCTGTGAGCCTGGCTTCTGGCTGGGTGGCACTCCCCCTGTGGGAGCACACTGACCACCAGGGGGCAGCTCCTGTGTTGAGCGTCTGCCCCCTGGTGGTCAGTGCACATCATAGCGACCAGTCGTTCTGCTGTTCAGTCCATTTGCATATTAGCCTTTTATTATATAGGATGCTTTGTATATATGTATCAGAGTGGAATAAAGTACTGATTGACCTTGTTTCCTGACCTTTTGAGGTTACTAATTATTCCAGGGATTCTGATGCAATGATACACTCAAGAAATATTGACTAAAGTCATTGAGGCCAAGTTCATTGACACCTTCATTCTAAGCTGTGATTCCCTGAGCTCCCCCTGTGGGTGTCTGCCTAGCGACTGGGTTTCCTGTCCTGCCTGTCATGACCAAATTAGAGGAAGGAAGATTAGAAAGAGGCAGCCAGGTGGTGTGGCCCAACCAAGAGGGCAAGGACACCTCATCTCAAGTCCCTGATGCCTAGGAGATACAGAAAATGAATTCCAACTGCACCTTTGGCTCCAGAGTTGGGTTGCAATAGCCAATGAGAAAATAGATAAGCTATAGGCCACTAAAAAGGTAATATATGGAGCAGTCCTTTGGGTGGGAGATGAGGCTGGGAGGGATGGAAGTCAGCCAAAGTCTTCCAAGGGAGGATTTAGATGTGCTCAGTGGAAAGCTTTTTTGTTGTTGTTGTTTTATTGTTGTTAATCCTCATCCGAGGATATTTACGATAACTATGGTCATACTTAACCCTTAGAAAAGATTCAAGGAGAGGACAGCAATCTTGCCAATGTATAAAGAGGGAAATTTTTCTCTGCCTATTTTCCTTTTCATATACCAGAGGTATAAGTGGAAGGAGAGAAGTTCTCAAGAGCAGACCATGCCTTCAGTACACACACACACACACACACAGAGAGGGAGAGAGAGAGAGAGAGAGGAGAGAGAGAGAGAGAGAGAGAGAGAGAGAGAGAGAGAGAGAGAGAG